TGTGTGTGTGTGTGTGTGTGTGTGTGTGTGTGTGTAAAAACCTACTCACTCCACCAGTGCTCCCACTCACTGCAAAGCGAGCAGTCAGTGCGCCGCCTGAGCGCAGAGAGTCAGTCCTTCATTCATCCATCCATCCCGCTGAAGGCTGCTGCTCATCACTTTCTTTCCCCCCCTCCTCCCTCCGTACCTTCCCCGGGATCGCTTACTTTTTCTTCTCCCTGTGTTTCGGAGTGCGTGCTGCCGGTGGATGATATCAACAGAGCTCCGCTTCTCCTTCACCTCCGCGGCGCTCCGGAGCGCAGAGGACGCGCATCACGACGGAGAGCGTTTTGGTTTTTAAGGTTTTTTTTTTTTTTTATGAAAGGAAATATAAAACAAATCAAACAAGACATAAAGAGAATATCTGCACCGGATTGGCGACGTGAACACGGACGAGATCCACGTGCAAGTTTTGACGGATTTGAACGGCTCAGGTGCGCTGGAGGATCAGAGACAGCCAGTTGGCGGATGATTGTCGGTTTCGTGGAGAGGTGTCACTGCCTCTGCGCAAGGTGAGTGATGGATCCAGTGATGAGTGAGCTGAATACTGTCAGGACACTTTGTTCAACAGATGAAGAATCGTCCGGTTTGACGTCTCCTGCATTTAAAGCGCAGAGCTGAAAGTTTCAGCATTTTAAATCTCACATTATTCCTATGGACTTCCTGCGGGGATACAGCGAGAGTCAGTGGAGTCTGCAACCTCGGAAAACTTTGGGGATTTAAAAAAAATCTGCTGATAACGCCGAGGAAAGGAAGTTGATCTATCTTTTCTAATTCACATCATCTACTGGCGATAATGACCTTTCCACCTATGGGGTTTACTGTTGCATAAATATGGCGAGCATGAAGCGGTGGGTTGATGCAGGGTTTAGTTCAGCAATGCAAAGGTTTCAAGTTCAAAATAGAAGCAAAATGTCTAGGATATATTCAGTTTACAGCAAGAAAAGCATCTTACTGGAAAAGTGACACAGTCAAAGTGTTTGATTCATTCGTCCATTCATTCCTTCTCTGGTGATCAACTATTCAAATAATTTACTAATTATTCAACATTATAAAAAGAAGCAGTTAGATGCAGGGACTTTCCAATCAATTTACTGTCCAAACATTTCTGGTTTTTTAATCCAATCTCTACCCACCTTCAATAATGGCTTTCCCTGAGAAAGGACACCGATACACACGTCAGATATACTATGGATTACCTCTGATAATCTGCCTCGTGTTTAACTGCCTCCCATCCATCTCATTCAGATCCCTCTCATTCCAAGTATTACTTATTCTCCAAAAATGTGTGAGAATACTGAGCATGTTCAGTTTACAGATATAAAAGCAGCTTGTATTATATTGGGAAAGGTGACACCAGAAAGTTGTTGCTTGATCCCTTTCTCGAAATCAATTCCTCAAATCATTTATGGGTCATTCCAGCTCTTGTGAGCTTCAGGGATTTAGAAAAAGACAGCTTCAGATGCAGGGCCATTCCTTTACAATCCAAACTTTTCAGTCCTGCAAATCCAACCTCTCCTTCAATAATGGCTTTCTGTGAAATAGGAAAACGATACGCACGTCAAATATACTATGGATTAGCTGTGATACTTGCTGCATCTCGTTTCACTGGCTCACATCCATCTCATGCAGAGCCCTCTCCTTGCAAGTATTTGTCACTTTGGGAAGAATGTCCAGTCGGTGTCATACTGGGCGCCTGTGGCAGGATGATACCAGCTTATGGTCTTTTCACAGCCCTCGCCTGCCTGTCACACACACACAGGTTAGTGCAGTCACCCGTGTTAGGTGCATCTAACCCTATAACCTAAACTCAAACCTTCCTCCTGTCCAGAACCTTAGGAAGGTTGTTTTTCCTCATAAGGATCATACCCCAAGAAAACTACTAGTGGTGTTTATAGGAAAAGCACACACAGTACATGCTATCCACAAGAACCCCTCAATCACACACACTGCAATGAAGCTTCATTAAGTAATTATTCATGGTGTCACATGTTCCCATTATTTCAATCCTCAGAAAAGGACATTTTTATTAACTTCAGCCTTCAGTCGATACTTTGCCTTTTTACTACCAGCACTGGGTCTATTTTTCCACACGCAGCCTGAACCATGTACGGTGAGCCGAGGCTTCATGCTCTGTTTACATACAGCTATTGATCAGAAGTTAGAGCGAGAGATTTGCAGTGCTGGACTCTGATCGATTGTGACTCCTACTGTACTTCAGGTCACTGCAGCAGACAGGGCGGCAGGGTGTCTCAGCACGAGGACACACTGGAACAGAAAAGAAATGCACCTTATCCAGCATGTTACACTGGCATCTAGCAATTACATTATCAAGAAATGCTGCAAAACAAAACTAGCAACAAACTGCACGTGCAGTTGTTGATTCTTCTTTTGGAATTATAACCTATGATTGGTTTCATACTGACCCATGCCAATTCACTATTAAACAGATCGCTCCATGTCCCTGGCAGCTATATTGGTTGTTAATGAGAATGCTTCAGCAGCACCACTCTGTCAGACTTCATATCGAACCCGCCCCTCTTGAGAAGAGATTGTGATTGGACCGACCTGTTTCAAGAAGGATATTAATCTGTCTGAATGGGAGGGGGGCCAGACCCATCTGTCACAGCGAATAAATAAAGATATGCCGATTGGTCTGAGTCCTGGGCTATAGTTCTAAACCAGAGCCTGAACAATATGTTGATTATCCCACAGACAACAGCAACGATTTTGATAACTGATTAATCAGAATTAATCAAGTGTCAAACATATCATTTTTCCAGCTTTTAAATTGTGGGGATTTTTGTCCCGTGTCATCGTGCATTGGATATCTGTGGGTTTTATTGTGTAGTCATTCACAGCGAGATATCTGAAGACAGACTGAGCTATTTCTCACAATAACAATGAGGAGATAGATCAATAATGAAAATCATTGACTTCAGCTCTATTTGAAAGCCAAAACTTACAATAAAAGGAAGGAAATCACTTTTGGAAGGCCGAAACCAACAAACTTGTTCTTTGAAAAAGGACTTAAACAAGTAATCAATTGTTGGCGAATAAAAACATTTTATTTCTAAAACCAACTAGTTACTATTGAACACAACATTTTTTGTCCGTGTTTCATTGTTATGTTCCCTTTAATATCGGTAGAATATAGAAGAATAGTAGAACAAGTCAAAGGTGTAACACATATAAATGTTTTAGCTTGTTTTTTTATCCTAATTGCCATGTGCTTCAATATATGTGACTTCAGAGTGAATGAGTGAAGCTTTGGAAAAAAAAAAAAAAAAACACACAGCAAGTCAATTATCATGTTCATAATGTGCAGCATATGCAGCGTAGCTCTCGCCAGCTTAAAAGCGTCTAGAGGAAGAGAAGCTTATTTAATTTATTCTGTCTCTCATGAGGTGCTGAACTGCATCTGAGGGAGAATCTGATTAACCCACTGGCATAATTTACACTGTCCCGAAGGAATAAACAGAGAGGCAATATTGTTCTTGAAAAGTGCTTGCTCCCCTTCTATACATGCAAATAAAGAATATGCATAAAGCACGAGAGCAATAATTGTGGCAGTGATGCTCTTAAAAGGGGCTGTTGCGCCCTCGCTTTCTTTAATGCAACAGGGATTGATTTGGCAAGTGCGTTTTCGTCAAGTGTGCGTCTTTGTGTTCACAGATGTGCGATCGCTCTGGTTTCTTTAGGATTGACAGTGCATCATGTGTAGGTGTGTGTCTTTGTGTGTGCATGTGTATTTTTTTTTTTTTTCTAAGAGTGCTCCATAGCAACAGGCAGCATATCTTCTTCAAATATCTTTTTCTCACATGCTGTACGCTGTGACCTTTCTGCTGACTACATGCATGTGAGTCCATCAGCAACACAGTGTGTGTGTGTGTGTGTGTGTGTGTGTGTGTGTGTGTGTGTGTGTGTGTGTGTGTGTGTGTGCGTGCGTGTGTGTGTGTGCGTGTGTGTGCGTGTGTGTGCGCGTGTGTGCGCGTGTCCAAGTATCAGCCATTTGACCTTTCTTAGTGTGCATTCACTAATAGCTGCATAATAACTAATATGGAGCCGCCCGCTGTGCCTGTCTACGCGATCAAGATATTGACTGTGTCTCATGGCAGCATCAGCACAGTGCCAACCTTCCTCCAAAGAGCTCTGTGCGCTTCCTTTCCTCTCGAACAAGGCAGATATGACAATTGTGCAGCGCTAATAATGATTCGGCATGCTGCGAACAAGTGGCAGTTTAGCTTCTTTCAGCCCATTTCATGTATCTCTCAAAGGGAACAAGAGAGACATCTTTAATATATATCTTGACACGGTTGTCGTGTTATGTTAATATCAGTGTTAGCCTAATAACTGGTTGCATATTTCATATCCGGGCACAGCAGACAGAGCTCTTTAGAAATCAATTTCCTTTTGCTCCATCACCGCGTTTGGAAACGGGCGCGCTGCCAGTTGGGGAGGGAGCGAGGGAAGGAGAGCGGGAGTATATGGGTGGGTGCTGTGGGTGCATTAGTGAATGAGGAAAGAAAAATATGCTTATCAGATGTAGAATTCATTGTTATCAGATGGAGAATTCAGGTCACTGGCTTCATATGCTTCACTGTTGGGACAGGGAGAGACAATTTGAATAAATAAGTTATTTGCTTCCACAAAACTTCATAAACATAGAAGCACACGCACTTCAGCGTATATAGCTTAGTTATAAAGGCTATAGGTGCTGCAAGGTCATGCTCCATAGTCCATGTCTGTCTCTCTGTCTCTCTCTCTCTCTCTCTCTCTCTCGCTCTCTGTCTATGCATGTGACTGTCTGTGTGATGCACTATAAAAGCGTGCAGTCTCAGCTCATACATATCAATAGCATTTTCCTTTGTGTGCATGTGTTTGGTCATAATTTACCCTGCACACTAGGGTGTTGATATGTTTGCATGCTATTTTTATATAGATGGGGTAGTGTGTGAGTGTGTGTGTGTGTGTGTGTGTGTG